TTCAGGATATTCTGTATTATTAGAACAAAAGGGAAATATTCTTATTACTTTATATTCTAAAACATAATAATATTCTGCCCTCACCTCAGACCTAATGGCTTCTTGGTATTTAGAAGACAACGATAAAATTCTAGTGTTGCTGGTATTTTACCAATATTTTCAAAGTAGGGATCTAATTCTTCAATTTAAAGAGCAATTAAAGCAGAGAAAAGTCTTCTTTTAAGTGGAAATTTACTTAGGGAATGATCCCCTCTGTAAGAGATACATGGAAACGATCACTGTGGCCCAGTGAATACACAGAACTCTGACAATTGGGATAGCAAGCGTTTTAACTGAATTTTAACTGGTATTTTAAAATTAAAGCCATGGCCGAACTCTTTCAAGTACGGTACAGTTTATCTGGAAGTTACCCTGTTCTCCACATATTAAAGTATCACGAAAGGAGTGAAAAGTATAAAAAACAGGATTTTTTTGTGATATAATTTGGTTGGTTTTTTTTTTCCTTTCGTATGTGATGTGAATCATGTAGGTAATTATATTTTGCTGTTAATTTTGGCCAGCAGGAAATGTAAAGCTAAGCAAATTGTTCATGGCCTGCAAAAATATGATTCTAATTTCTCCTCCTTAACTTTATTTCTATCACTTTTTCTTTAATTTTATTTACATTTTTGTAAATATATTTCTTTATAGAAGTATCTTTAAACACTTTCTGAAATCTGATAAATGAATTTAAAAATCCAACTCCTACCAAGGTTGCTATGTAAGCAATTTATTGAACCATAAAATGAAAAACAATGAACTGATTATTATGGTATACATTACATAATAAGTTCATACATTTTTGATAGAATTACAACACTTATTAAGTATAGGCAATAAAGAACACCCAGACGATAAATTCCAGTCTCTAGCAAGCCATATTCTTCTTTCTGGGGCACACTGGCTCTCCTATCTTTTATAATTCGCATTATCACTTCTTAAAGTCATGATGTAGTGACTATTCATGTACATATTTTATTTCTTTTTTTTAAGTTGTATGTTTGTGTCTTCATATTCTTTCTGCATTCTAATTTATATTTTTTAAAAATCTCAATATATTATATGAAAATGAATGAAGTTCTTAAAAAGTTTCCTAAATTTTAAAATTCTAAATTTATGAGTTACTTCATAGGTTAGGTATTCCCTGCCGTGTACATCATTTTTTTCTTTCTTTTTTTCAGGGTAAATTGCTATAGTGTGATATCTGCTCAGTGCCCCTTTGGTGGATTCAAAATGTCTGGAAATGGAAGAGAACTGTAAGAAAAATGTTGTTATGATAAATGTTTATCTGGGTAAAAGTGGTTATTTCTTCCAGGGAATTAATTCATGTTCACTATCATAAATAAAACAAATCTTTATACTTTCTTGGATATTCATACCATGAAATATTTTAGAAGTGTTGGATTAATCCATAAATACAGAAATGCAAAAACAAAAGATAAATATAATTTACTAAGCTTCTACTCTTCAAAAGGGACCATATTAAGCAATTTACATTGGTGATCAGATTTTTCTATCCTTTTAGAATTGCTAATTGTATATATATGAATGTAATCCCTTTGGGAAATGTTTCCAGTAAGAAGGTAGGAAAGAAATTGGTGACTGTAAGAAGTGTAAAAAACAAGTATATTATTTGAATATATCTCTGAAATAAATGAGATGCCTTATACCAAAAGACTTTAGCATTAACATGAATGATTCTCATTTGCCAAAATATTATTGATGTAGTTTCTAAATTTTTTAGATTATCTGGTTGACTTATTTTCGGTAGTAACCAAACTAACCAAATTCTAACTACAAACCTAGAAGGAAATCTGAGTAAGGAAAACATGTTTTATAGTTGTGACTCAATTGAGAGTATACATATAGGTGGATTTATGAGCTTTTACTTTCTTTCAAAACCAAGATATATAGAATTGTTAATATGCACATACTGTGGACACAGTAGTGTGGCACTTGATTTGATTAATTTTTCAAGCATGTTTAACCATTTTTTTAAAAATATTTTTACATTTAGTACTAAATAAAATTTCATTGAGACAAAGATAATACATCATATGCAAACTTTTCAGAATCAAACAGCAAAAGCTTCCCATTTTGTTAATAGCAATAAAATGAGTCAGTTCTACAGGCTACGAGCATATTAAAATAGCCATAAATTTTGTTATTTGTCTTAATTAGCAAAATTAGAATGAAATAATTACCATTTGGGAAACAGAGAAATGGAAGAATGTTATTATCCCCTGTTTTCTCAATACACTTTCTTAACAGTCTTGGTGTCGATAAGGTCCTAGGCATCTCAAACACATTGCACTATGTTCCATCTTCTATATAACTATAGTGGCAGGAGGAATATGTAAAAAAAAAATGTAAAATACAAAATTCTCACACACAGAATTAATTAGATAGTACCAGACTGGGTGTTCACATTTTATGAAGTCTGGGATGCGTTTAAAGTGCAGAGAAAAGCATTGAAGGATGGAAAAATCTGAGCACCAACAGAGTATATAATTAAATACACAGTTGCTCTCACTCTGATAATTTTGTCCTCAGAACCAGGTCAGGAAATGTAAAGCTAAGCAAATTGTTCATGGCCTGCAGGAAATGTAAAGCTAAGC